ACCCCGAGGACTGGGCTGGAGTCCACGAGGACTGGGATGGAAACCCCGAGGACTGGGCTGGAGTCCACGAGGACTGGGATGGAAACCCCGAGGACTGGGCTGTAGTCCCCGGGGACTGGACTGAAACCCCCGAGGACCGGGCTGGTGTCCCTGGGGACTGGACTGAAACCCCCAAGGACCGGGCTGGTGTCCCTGGGGACTGGACTGAAACCCCCAAGGACCGGGCTGGTGTCCCTGGGGACTGGACTGAAACCCCTGAGGACCAAGCTGGTGTCCCTGAGGACCGGGCTGGAGTCCCTGAGGACCGGGCTGGTGTCCCTGAGGACCGGGCTGGTGTGCTCAGTAATGGACCTGCTGAGGAGGGGGAGCTGGAGCCGACAGGCTGAAAGTTTCCTCTCCCGACAGCTGGCAGAGCATTTTGTGAGAGAATATGTTGTAAGATCACTGATCTGGACATGGAGGTAGGAGGGGTGATGGAGGAGGTCACCATACAGGAAGGAGTAACTGAGGAGGAGGAGGAGGAGGGTTTTTTATGACAGACAGAGGTGGTTTGACCTCCAGAGGACCTCCTGTCAGCTGGTTTCATCTTATATCTAAACTTAAAGAAATATTTCCCTGAATCCAGTTCCAACTGGGACTTGGTCAGGATGTTAAACTTACGAAGTATGGCTGCTGGGTCCATCTCTGAGGTTTCTGGACTTGTGGTGGACTGTGATGGTGCAGAAAGGATGTCGCTGGGATCAGGAGTGTTGATCCCTGCAGCTGTAGTGGTTCTGGGTTGTGTGTGAGCCAGGGAGCTGAGGCTGGAAGCAGGTGGAACCTGACTAACTGGATTCTTCCCAGTGCTGGGATCAGAATCAGTGAGCGGGGAGGAGATGTTTGACAAGGAGGACAAAGGCGGGACAGGAGGAACAGCACCAGGACTGGTCCCAGTCTGAGGGCTGGTTTTAGAGGATGACTCTGATTGGTTGGAGGAGGAGGTGTTTGTGGAACTCGTTCCAGATGAAACCGGACTGAAAACTCTGTTACTGTTGGTTTTATTACAGGAGGGGGGCTGACTGCTGCTGCTGGTGGGAGGAGCCTCTGTCAGGGGGGAGGAGACAGAAGGAGCTGGCAGTTTCTTCATCCCTTCTAGGAGTGTTTCAGATACAGAAAAGGGAACCCACGAGACCTTAATTTCACCTACAGACAGAAATAATGACAGTCAGGTGTAAGAGATGAGTTATTTATGCAAATAACTTACCTTACACTTCTCATAACAAAGTTATAAGAGTAAATTTTACCAAGGTTTTACTCATTACTCCAATATTTGTCTGTGCAAAGGGAAGTGACACAATTAGGGAACTCAGACCGGTTCAAGTTGATTCATAAAAGATTATGCAATCATTTATTTACACAAATTGAACAAAATCATAAATTACACCTAATTGTGGGTTTCCTACTAAGAGTCCAAGTAAATGAGATAAAAACCCGCGTCCGAATTTCTTCACATTAACTCAGATTACTTATACAGACAGTAAAACGTCAGTTCTGATGTTAAGACTAAACGATTTACAGGCACTTCACTTGGGGGTTGGCAAAGGATAAAGGTAAGAAAAGGTAAGGAAATTAAGAGTTAGTGTTTCTGTTTTAATTTTGAAAGGTTTTCAACCGGATTCAGCACGTCCTCTCTGAGCTCTCAGCTTCAAGTTGACACGTCACCCACCGAACACGTCAGCGTTACCTGGAGTGGTCTGCTTAAGAACCCCTGGTCTGGCTGTCTCACCGACGACCCAACAGGATGCTTGTCCAGAAATGGTCCTTAGTGGAAAGGTGTCTTTCAGGTGACTCTTTAGTCCGCTTAAGCCCGGCCAGAGAGATTCCAGCTGTGGTTCGGTCGTCTTTCAAAATAAAAGTCTCCCCCCAGGGAGTTGAAAAACACTTTAAAGAGACGTGTGTCTCCAGGGGGACATGAAGGCGGCTTGCCTTTGTCCCGGGGCTTCAGGTCGACTCTAATTGGCTCTTGAGTCAAACCTGCGGCCCGGCTGTTCTCCGGAGAGAAAACAGCTTCGTCCTGCTGCTTCGGCATCCAGCAAGAAAACTGCTTGTCTCTAAGGCGTACGTGTTAGTCAGGGTCAGAGCCTTAGATAAACTCTCGTCAGAAAAAGAAAGGAAGAGATAAGAGGGTTGCCAGCTGTCGCCAGTGAAGGCCACTTGCTCTGCTTCTTACAGACATTATGAAAATATCTTCTCTGCTTCTTTTTGCTGGGCTGTAAAAGAAACCACTGTGAACATTTATCATGATTAATTAAACCTTCTGCTTAAATAATCAKYCTGAACYTGTGTCCATATAAATGTAAGATTTTCTTAAGAAAACTCAAAATTATATTACTGATGTTTCAGTAAAATAAAACAGTGATTTATAAAAACACAATGAAAAACATGGTGATGATTTTCTGTGATTCATTAATCTATTTTAGGCACGATAAGAATAGAAGTGATTCTATATTCTTTGTGACATGTCATCATTATGATTAACAGATGCATAAACATTCTTAGTTAAACAAACAATGAATCACGAACAGAACAGATTGTTTCTGTTTAATATCTGATTAGAGAACTGAAGTCCTCGTGTAGGTTGAAATGACCCATCATGGCCTAAAATAGAATTCAGCGTTCCTGTCTCCTCTCAGGCCTGTGCGAGACCTGATTTGAGGCAGTAACTCCTGTTTCTTCACTCGAGGTGACCCCTACACAGGTTTGAAATATTCGATTATAAAAGAGAAGTGAACTGTTTCTGTTCTTACTGGATCAACAACACCTGAAGGAGTTCTGCACCATCATGAGTAAAAATAAAAACAAAACAACATCAGATGAAAGAATTAATCTTACCAAAGTTTAACAAGCCTTCCAAGAATTTATTGTCCGTGACCACGATGACGCTGATCATGTTCTGAGGAGGAGACGAGTCCTGGTCCACAAGATCCTTCATCTGAGACTTCATCTTCAGAACAGGTTCATGTGTTATTTAAAGAGCTGAACAGGTCCACAGCCTGAACGACAGCCAGCAGGTGAAGGCTTTACCTGTTCGATGTGGCTCATCAGAACCAGAGGATCGGTTGAGTTTCGGGCCTTTTCAGTGACCTCTCTGAGCGATTTGTGACTCTCCTGCAGCCGCTGCACCGCCAGCATCCTCCCGTTGATCAGCTCCCGCTCAGACTTGTACGCCTTCTGCCACACGCCAAAAACAAAACGCCACGAGCGTCAGCGCAGGAAGCCTTCTGACGGACACTACTGCAGGGTTTAGTTCACTTCATAAAGGAGGCGTTTTCCAGGCTCACACTTCAGTTTACTCCAGTCCAGTAAGTAGGGGATGACTGATACATCAACTGGATGGTATTTTTGGCCGATATTTGTGTTTTTTCCTAGTATCAGTATCAGCAGATACGTTCGTCCGATCCATTGTTTGATCAGGTGAGCGCACGTTGCTGCCCCCTCCATGAGAGAGCAGCTGCTAATGTTGTGAGACAGAGTGCAACAACAATAAGGTGAGTTATGAACTTTTAATGTGTTTTAACTGTATAATTGATCTGTTTCTGCCCTCTGTGTCAGGATGAGGAGGACAGAAGAGCTGTGTTTAGGTTTCACTTCGAACAGGAGCGCTGTCTCTTTACTTTCACTTTGACACCAGACTGTAATCAGCGTGTCCACCTTGATTTTCTTTTTAAAAAGTGCTGGAGCTGCTCACAGGAGGCAGAGAAGAACACCTCTGTTGTTCTCCCTGCTGGATTCAAATAAAAAGCTCTGGGTCTTTTCTCACCGGTCCGTTCATAAGAGTGAGTAAAGCCCTGCCGTCCACCATGTGAACCAGCATGAGTAAAGCCCTGCCGTCCACCATGTGAACCAGCATGAGTAAAGCCCTGCCGTCCACCATGTGAACCAGCATGAGTAAAGCCCTGCCGTCCACCATGTGAACCAGCATGAGTAAAGCCCTGCCGTCCACCATGTGAACCAGCATGAGTAAAGCT